AGGCTTTGATCCCATGGGTTCGGGTTCGAATTCATGCCTTCCAGATACTAGTTGGGCACCGTAGCTATAAACCGAGCTAGAAAGTCACACGTTGGGAGTGGGGAAAACTTCAGAGAGATTCTTCTTTCTCGTACAGGAATTTGAGTCAGTCGTTAGCCCTTCGTCAGAGCGATTTGTCTTCATCGTCTAATCGCTCTGAAGAAGGGCTAACGCTCGAAACGTCAGATTTTTTATCCTTTACGGTGGCTAACTTACGTTTTCAACTCAGTTGTTAACACTAAATTACCTGCTTTACTCCTAACCAAGGGTTATATTTGATATCTGTTACAAACAAAATAAAGTCGGATTGTGACACAAAAAAGTGACAGGAAAATGTTTTTTATAGGAGCGTGGGTGAACGATTAAGCGCTGCAATGCCCTTGTTTAAATGAAACCTAGGGCATCCTAATCTATTGACGGAAAAACCCGAAGAGGTCAGGAGCAGGAAGTAACAAGATAAAAGGAAAGTCTTACGTTATATGCATCTTCTTATCCTCTACTTAAATTTCAAGTATAATCTTATCAGAATTAAGTATTTCTTTCAGGTAATCCAGTCTTGCCGACAGATTGTCACAAGTTGGTATCAATTTTAATCGGTTTGTAATTGTACCTTGAGGTTTGCTTATCTAGGTCTGAAAAAATAGCGTCTGTGGTGAAGAACACAAAGCATCTCAAGTGAGGCGATTTGATCTCTTTCAAGAAAGGACGCATGCGTGTCTTTTCCATGTACTTGACCTAGATAACCCACGTCAGCCCATTTCAGGAAGAAGAGAGTACTGTTAATTTCACTCGTCATTTAATTTCGCTGCGTAATCTTTGAAATGCTGCGCTTCAACGAATATCAAACTATTCTAACTGAAAAGGTTTTTAATATAAACCAAGACTAAAATACTGCCTAATTATGGATTTTTCTTTTGGAAAGATTCCACTGATACAAAAACGAGCAATGTATATTTCTTTTTTTACCATTTAACTTCATAAAAGAACAATAGCTTCGAAAAATTATTTAGCAGTTCGATCCAATTGGAGTTGAATTTCACCATGGGTCAGGCTTGTTTCAATATCTCAAATTTTTAAGGGAACAATACTATGTCGAAAAATCTCTCTTCTGGAAAATGTATGTCTTCCCGGAAGTTAGACGCCAGAGCAACTAGCAGGAACGATCACAGGAAAAAACCCCTTGATCGATAAAAACATGAGATAAAGTGGAAATTGCAAATGGATTTGTCTGAACAACACTCAAAAAGCTCTCAAGGCGAGAATGCTTGTAATCTGCTCTTATCATTTTTTTTTACTTAAAAAAACTCCTTTCGCATACAGTTTTACTTATTCTTCATTTCAGGTCACTTCAAGTTATCATACAATGCTGAATTTTTAATCATCCTTTCCTCCCTTACTATCTTCCCAATCTCGCAGCCTCTAGATCTGTCTTTCTTCAACTTGAGTGGAATTCATAACCCCGTGCGGTACGGTCTTGATGTGTTAACGAACTAGGGAGAGGAACATTTTATACGGGTTCGAGTTTCACCGCACTCGATTCCGGTCTTCTTTTGTGGGTTTATATATCCTAAACTTGTTGGTTATTTCACCTATAACAATGTCATCGCCGGGCATAAGTCGAATATCTGTGCTGTTTCCAGAACGGAATGAGGTGAGCAGAACACCATTTGGGTTCACCGCGCTTCGTTTCTTTAGAGAGCGTTGTTTTCATCTAATTTTCTTTGTTTGTTTCTATTTTCTTCTTATTACCACATGTGGTAAACACTCAAAGCATTTCCGTTTCTCCTAACTTGTGGCTATGCTGAGGATCAGTAGATTGAGAGAAATTCTGACCCAGCTTATCTAATAAGCCATGCGTGAACCCAAGGTAACGAGCAAAAACTACAAATATCGATTGTTGTAAACAATTATGTGCATTTTTCAGGTCGCCCCAAACCCGTGAACAGAGCCCCGGAGCTTGACACTTAACACAAACAATTGGTGAAAGAGTCTTTTGTTTAAGTTGTCACAGGAAGTCACGTTCTCTCCGCGCGGAGCGTGAATGACCTTACGTAGCAGACACCGGGCAGGTGATGTGTACAGACTCGTCTAATAAACGATACAAAGTGATATTATGACTCTCGAAGAGGGTTATTCACGGTCCGTGCATCTTGGGAAAAGGCCGGGATCTCAAAAAGCACGTTTATCTTTCTCACTTACCCAACTGCTTTACAACTATTTTTCAACACCGTTGATGATGAATACAACACCATTTTTGCGAAACTTACTAAAAAAAATTATTTGAGGCTATGAAGAAGATTATTCCCAATCAGATTTTGAGAGTTTGGGGATGAACAACAATTTTCCCTAGCGCCAAAAACTACTAAGAACCTTCCTTGGTATGTTCCTGTATGAAAATTGCACGTGTTTTTTCCTTTCGATAAAACCCCCGCAATCTGGATATTGATAAAAAAAAAAAGTTATTACATACAGCACGAGGGAGTTATTATTGCAAAGGATCTCAAGTTCTCTAACGAAAATTGAATCAAACTAAGTTGACACAACACCCAAACATTACAAAAGCTGTTCATAACCTAACAACGGTATCCATTATCCAAACTTCTTAACAGACAATATCCAGAGTCCTGGCAAAAATTTTCCGTCAATCGGCGATTCGTGAAATTTTCAAATCTGCAAATTTACAGTCTTGACGTCCTAAGCCATATATCCACAAACATAAACCCTTTCGGCCGCCTTTTCCATAAACAAGATGGGAACAAAGTTTGACTGACAAACAATAACATAAACAAAAGCAGGTAAAATATTTATCATAAGAAAAAAAGAACCTGTCAAATGATTTTCCCAGAGGATGCAAACCGATTTCTGAAATTTCTAGTTCAATTCGTTTACCTCAGTACAGAAATTAAAGCAAAATTATTGAAGCATTTCAAAACTACGTCTCAAAGTTTCAAAGTGTGTTTGCACATTATACCTGATCTTCATACAAAGTAAATAATTTATCCGTTTAACCCGTAAAAGACCTGCACCCTAAAACAAAGAAAGATCTTTATGTCTATAGGAGAAAGATAATCGGTGAATAAATGCATTTTTTGTAACCACCACAGACAAACATGAATAACTTCTGCGCATCCAATTTCACGGCAATTACTAGTTCCACGTCACTTTGCTTAGGTTTGTCTTTGAGTTCAATAGTGTTGGCTTCTTTTCTCACTCTGGCTCTCTCGGTTTTTTAATTTTTTTAAAAATTTTATTATTTTCAACTTGATTAACTCTAGGTTTAGAGGCATTTATTGAGGGTTTTTTATAGTCCTGTAGATAAAAAAAAACTAAATAAAACTAGAACTTGCGGTTTGGAACAAATCCTTACATACTGTTTTCTCAAGGAAAAAAAAGCGAGATTCGGTAATGTCTTTTAAATCATTTTCAAAAGTGGTCGTTTTAGACTTCATTACGTTGTATGTTTGGATTTATACTGACATTTTATAAACAACATTGACACGTAGGAGGAGAATTCTAAATATGGCTGTTAGACAGACAGGTGTTAAGATTCCCGCCAAATGGCAACAAAGCTTGATTTGTTCGAGTGTATTCCAACAACCTGAGGCAATGGAATCAGAGCTTTGATTTAAAAGTGAATGGCTGGAAAAAAAGTATATTTTCTATTTGGAAATAACGCTATCTTTACAACAGTAAAAGATGTCTCCTTGGAATAAAATTCAGTTCGATTGCTAAAATGACTCGGTGATCGATGTGGCAGAGATCTTGTCTTTGGGAAAGTAGTAGACGCTATACATTCATTACACATACACGTAAGGTCCGAGTAGTTTAAGTTTTTAAAGAAAACGTTCGTGTATTTGAGAGAAAAATAACGATAAATAGTAATCCCCGAGTACCTCAGCGATATTCAGCTCACGAGACTTGATTTCTGATCCAAGGAAAGCGAGTGGACATTTTTCGTATAGGGTTTTGGAAAATTTTTAAGGCAACCAGATTTTAACGAGTAGGTTCCAACAAATTATTTTGCCAAAGAGGTATTCTTTAGCAAAAAAATATTGAAATAAAAAACATTGGCCTTAGGATATCAGCTTTAAAATCATGTACCCTAGCTAAAGTAGGAAATAAGATTGCATAAACAGTAATTTTGGAACTCGGAAGTTCGTGCACTACAGACGATTGCTGTCGGCCAAATGGTATGAATAATACAGCGTGAAGTGTCACCTGCTGTCTAGAAATGAATTGGTACAAAAACAACATTGGCGTTGACAAGTTAGACGTACTATTGAAGAAAAATGTTAGAAAAGCGATTTCTTGAGGTGCGTCCGCCGCGCCTCACAGGTTCAAAGTAATAAGCACCCTGTGGTGATTTTACTTATCAAGCTGGGTAGAGCTGTGGTTGGCTATTAGAGAACAATTTTTTACCCATTCAGCTACGCTACTGACACAAGGCTAAATTTCATAAACCCATTTTATTCTATCGTGCTGTTTTGTACATTACTCTTTCGCCTCAAATGGCCCTGAAAATTACACGGGATTTCTTGCCGGGGTTAGGCGTCGACCTCGTGTAAAGCGCACATCAAAATGCTTTGTTGAGAAAACGCAACCTTTTCTCGAGAACTCTCGACAAAACAACATTTTTAAGTACTCTTTGCTCGTCAATAAAATGCAAAGCTATTTTTCTTTTGGTCTCCTTTGTGTGATAACAATGGAAGATTGCTTGTGATTGTTTTAACACAGGAGGGGCGAAGCATAACCCACTTACTTAGGGTCTCAGATCGACGCTAAAGATTAAATCGGTGTGCCAAACCATAAATAGGCAATTCTTTTATTGTTGCAAAATTTAAGCATAAAATAAATTGAATTTTCATTTCAGCTCAGAAACGCTTTAGTTCACATGCAAATTTTTCATGTGACGTTTTACGTAAGTGGTTCACTATCTGACCAATCAGCTTGAGATCTATTGTGTTTGCTCGGTTATTCAGCACGATTTCTTACTTGACATCATGTACATGGTTCGAGGGCGAACGGAAAATATGGCCGCCATTTCTAAACATAGTTACGTCGAATAAGCGCTGTTTGGAGACACAACCAAACAGCTCTTGGCTCGATATTCTATTTTAGTGATCGTAACGTGCTTTAGAACCATAAATCGCTTCGAATTGACGAGAGACCGCGGTTTGAACGCTAGGAAAAGAACACACAGACATAGACGACTGGAATGGCGACGCGTTGATTTGTTATCGTAGACGAAAATATGAGTACAGCCAAGAGAAAGAAGCGAAGCTCGAGGTAAGTTTGTTCATATTTGTACTTTTTTTATCTTACTGCAAGAGAATAGGGTGGCGAGAAAAGAGATTTTGAATCCGTGCGCCGTAGCGCGACAATAGTGTTGTGTTCGCATGAATTCGGCTGCACGTCGATTACTATTCTTGAGCGATGCAAAACCAGTTACGTCCTATTCTTTTCGATTACGATTTAAATCTGATAGATGCCACTAATAGTGAGGTCAATCTGTTATTTCATCTGTTCTGGTTTTTGTACCTGGCGTGTATTTAGTCTTTCCTCACTGCAAGGTTAAGAAATTGTATGGCATATGTATACCTCAGCTTTTTCCGGTGTGCATTTCCGAATTGTAGCGTTTGGAACCCCTTCGATCTTCACTCCCCACGAAGCATAAAACTGTAGCTGTTCTCAGCAATGGTATAAACAAACCCCACCAGCCGGCTGAGTTAAATTCACCGTCACGATACTGTGAAGCGACTGTAGAAAAGGGTGGCAGAAAGACAATTTGCATTATTTGACATCGCTACAGACGCTGTGCGCGTACCGCGTGAAACCCGCGAAAAGGGCATCATTTTAGCTCGTTCAGTCGTTTTAATTCCAGTTATTCTGCTTTGAAAACTGAACTTCGAGACATTCAGATCACAGGCCTGATCGATTAAACTTCCAATTTTCAATTGTGATTTTCATGTTGGTGTTTTCGACTCTTAGTTTAAGCTTATATTCGATGCTTTACGCAACGCCCGATAAAGTGCTGTATATCTTATGATGACCTTTGACAGCAACGACATACTTTTACTCTTTTAAAGCAATGAAGTAAACTTGAACGTGCAAAAGGATGAAGCGGTGCTTTAATACCTTGATAAGTAACGACGGCATAAGTTCGTGCTCGGTTTAGTCGCGGCCGATCAAAGAAAGTTGAAAGTCGAGTTTTCTTTTCGGCCCAAAAAAACTGTGAATGGGCTGGTGGGCGATAGAAATTTGCGTAGAAAATCATCGAGTATACCTTCTTCGACAATGCTTTATTTTTTCTTAAATCTTCTGATATAAGATTGTGGAAGTGATTTCGTCAGACCTTTAGAGTTAACTGCAGCGAAATAGCGCTTTTGTTATTTGGAGCCCAGCCCGCCATGTTTGTCTTTCAGAGATTCAGGGTGATCGACCAATTTTAACCCTCGATGCACGAAATCATTTTCTCGCGTCCCGGCCGACATATGAACATGTTTTGTGATGATTTAGATAGTTCAAACCTTGGAGGAACGTTTTGTATAGTTTTTATGGGTATTTGCCTCATATTTTACGCGTATCGAGTCCTTTCATCCTTCGTCTTCGCGGTCATAATAATTTACGACGGGGGAATACATTCTCGAGACAATCTATATTATTCCAAGCGTTTTGTTGCGGTTTTCAACAACCTGTGCTTGACTGTTAAGAACTCCTCGAATTTTCTAACAGAAGCGAAAGATTTTAGAGTAAATTTTTACAGATAGGGGGTCCATAACAAGAGAAAAAAAGGCGCGCTTACTCATTACCCCTCCAACATTTTTCAAATGTTTGAAGCAATTTACATATTCACCTGGCTGTCAAAATAATTCGTTCTTTTTGTGTTTCATGGATAATACACATGGCCTTTATCTTTGGCGTGTTTCAATTGATTCTTATGCAAATTGTAAATGGAGGTTTAGCTTGGGATGGAAATAGTTATTCCGTGATTCACAACCTATGTTTCTTGTCACGGAGGCTTCGTTTGCCGCAGAGCGCGACTTCAACGTTTCTAGCCTCCCTAGTGTGTGTGTGCTGCTTAAATTCTCATTTTTCCATGGCACTTTAAGGAAAAAATAAACATCTTTTGTTATTTGCTTCTTGATCAATTTTATCTGTTTACGAATTTTCACGTTGAAGGAAAATGGCTGCGGTTTTTGTTTTTTGTAACCCTATTTGTCTAAGCGAGAGGTCGAGTTTTTTTTTTTTCCGAATTGAAAACCATCCTTTTCCTGAGTTTATCATGAAAAGGAAAACCGTTAGATGGACAGGCATCAAGTACCATTAATTATCAAGAGGAAACGTAGTATTTACATACATCGGATTTCGCCGATTTCTCATTTGATTGTTATCAAGATTTCACTCAAGTTCAGATTGCACGACAAATGATTTAGCATTCATCAAGAGCTAAAAATTACTGTACTTTCGGGGATGAGTCTCGAGAATCACTTAATGTTTGACATGTTGGCCATGTGAGAGAATGTGTGTTGACAGCTTAAGGAACAGTACGCTTGAAGAATTTAAATAATTTGGTTCAGCCTCTAGTCTGGCAGCCAGACATTAATTACTTTGCCAAGTGCTCCTTCAGTTACAGAGGTACACTTTCTTGTGGCAAGTTACAATTTTTGCTGTCAGTGAGGTTTCCGCGAGTTGTTTTCACATGTATTCATACATACCGTGTTTGTACTTGTGACCAAGACAACATAACCACAGCATTATTTTAAGCTTTTAGCCTTCTCGTTTAAGCAGCTTAACCCTAACCCCGTACACATCATCGCAGATGTCTGGGAATTTCCATTTATTTTCATTATTTTTTTTATAAACAATATTCTTAGAATTGTTTTCTTTCCCTTAAAAATATCTGAACTGAATGCAATGTTTGGTAGAACCACTTTCTAAAAAACAATTTTATTACACCAGGCAGTAAAGACTGAATTCAGTTGTTAGACAAGGGTTTTAGCAGCTGTGGAATAGGACCAAGAGTATCTTTGGCCTCTGTTTAAAAATAACCTTGGCAATTCAAATTTTGTGAGAGAAAGCTTAGCAAGAGCCAGAGAATTCTCTGATATCTATTAGGCAATGAACAGCCTGAAAGATAAATTGTTTTGGTATTTCTTGATTGATAAATAATTGTTTACGTTTTGGTTTTTACGTTGGAAAAAAAAAATTAAAAAAAAAAAAAAGAACTGTCATCCCTTCTTATTTTTTGTCTTTTGCTCACTTAACAATGGGCATCATTAAGTATTTTGTGCAATTTTCAAATTCATTTAATCCACCCAGGCCTCCTTGAATGGTACATTTATTTTCCAAAAGCAATTAGCCATAGGCAGTAACACATCACATGCAAACTTAACATTTGTGTGAGGATTCTACCACTGACCTTTAGCAAAAGTACTCTTGTGTTTCAAGATATCAAGACAGTTCATACCAAGGAACAAGAGCATAAATTTGTTTTTCTGAAATTTACAAGTCTTTTTTTTATATTACCAAGCTATTATTAACACAAGAATTTGTTTTAATTTTTCTTTTCAGCCTCAAAGGCTCCTTGAATCCATCTAAACGGCACCGTGACCGTTTTAACATTGAGCTGGACAACCTAGCAAAACTCCTGCCATTTCCCCATGATGTGATCCAGAAATTAGATAAACTGTCCATTCTGAGATTGTCTGCCAGCTACCTCAGAGCAAAAAACTTCTTCAAAGGTGAGGGTACTGGAAACATTGTAATATTATCCAACTTTGTGAATAATATACTCCTGTTCAATTTGACATTTTTTACCTAGTGGTTCTTTGGTCAAAGTTATAAAATGGTTTGTCCATTTGATCCATATTCTTTCTAATGGTATGTGAAGAATTGTACACAGTCAGTTTAGAGAATCACCATTTTGATCTTGGGACATTTATCATGGCCTTTGTTTGATTTTTGCTTTATAGTCAGCTGATTCCAGGTCATTGTAGAATTAAAAAAAATTGCAGGTTTCAAATTTGTGTTTTGTACACAATCTGCTCGAGTAAATTTTTAAATCCTAAAAATGATGCATATGTTAACCTCATTTGCTTGTTTTGGAAAACTGCAAAATTTTATTCCTGGCAAAAATATCAAATGCTTCCCATCCAAAAAGTAAAAGATGAAAAAACTTTACATTGTAAAGAGTATTATTGAGAAGAGCCAGGTTTACATAACATAAATTTGCATTTCTAGACAAGTTTTTTGTCAAGCAAAAAATGTCCCCTTAATTGTTAAATCTGGTTCTTCAAAAGATATTATTTGCACACTTTTAGGACTATTGCTGACAGTCAAAAGATTGGAAAACTCTGATTTTTCATACAAATTGATGAGAAAAGTGGGACAAAAATACGTAGAGAAGAAGAGTTTGGCAATCTCTATTCAATTTCTGGAATTGGAATATTTGATCATGAAATGTAATTTGTGGAACTAGAGGCAACTAAGGTAGTGGATTCAGCCTAGTATTGTTTAAAGTCCTGATACCAGCCATGCAAGTGTAATCCTAAGGATTTTAAGTGGTTTTTTTTTTCATTTTTTCAACAAAACTATGCATATCTATCTAGATAGTTTGTGAAACGTTAGATGAACCGGCTCAGATATTGGACTTACGGATCAAACCTAAATTTAGTTATTCCTCAACTGAATTCAATTTTTTTTTACAGGCCAGCAATGGACAGAGGAAAACAAAGTTGGCAAACTTTCTGATGGACCACCAGATTTTGAAGGCAATGGAATATTTTCTAAGCTTTTACTAGATGTAAGTCCTGTTTTTGTTTAGATCTTAATATGGACAGATATTCAAATATATTTATATTTTTTGTGTTAAATGAATATGACTGTTGTTGAAGATATATCAATTATAACACTTCAAGTTAATCTCTGCAAGGGAACTATATGTAAAAATAACATTTGTGGGTAAGGGTTGGTGGTTTTTAATTCTTCTTTCAAAACAGTGAAAATGATATAGTTAAGTATCTATTAAGCACTTGTATCTCGGAAGATAGCCAGATGACCATTCAGCAGAGGTTAACTTAAAAAGAGGTTGGCCAAAATTTAGTGCATTGTGATCCAGAGAGTAATTTGATGACACAATTCACATCTTATCTCAGACAATTACTAACAATGATATGAAATATATTTTAAGTATTTTTAAGCTCGCATGTAGCCAACAGATGTTGTGGTGAACAGTCTTGAGTCCAAATAAATCATCTTTGTGCAGTGATTCACTGTACCTTGTTCAGAGCCAACAGGTTTTGATATAACCACAAAGAATGAACTCTTGGTTAACCAAACCAGTCACCTTTCTAAATTTTAATTTGATAAGATGACCGTTCAATAGAGATGGATTTGAATGAAACTTGAGAGAGTGGGTTGTTTAACAGATGTCCAATTTAAATGTACAGTGAATATGTGAAACACATGAAATATGTGGATCAACTGCTTTATGAAAGGTGACCTTGGCTGGTAATATTATGTGCTCTTTGAGTGGTATAATTCAAAATTTAATTTGGCATTTAGGCATGGGAATTTTATATCTACACTTAGTAATGCATTTGGTTATCTTGCTCTGTATCACTGTCTGTTATAAAAATATTTTTGCATTTTATTTTTCAGGCTTTGGATGGTTTTGTCATTGTGTTGACAAGAGAGTTTGAAGTATTTTATGCATCTGAAACTGTTCAAGATTATCTTGGCCTAGCACAGGTACACCTTACTAGTTACACCTAAGGGCAGTTCTTTAGCTGCCATGAATTGTAATTCAAAGGCCTGTTGTAGCTTACCTTCTCAGAATATTTTCCTTCTTCCCCTGTCCCTGTCAATGTTATTGAATCTCTTCCAGCCAAATATACATTCCGATATTTTTTGAGGGGGAAAACATATGGTGATGTACAGTAAAATTAGAATGCATCAATCTTAGTTTAGTTTAGCCTTAGAAACAAGAGTAATAGTTTCCTAGTTCTTTCAAGAGTTTTTTTTCCATGATTACAGGTGCTACAGGCATCTAACTTTTCTGTTTTGGCAACTTGAATGATATTTTTTCTTATCACAGTGAAAACTTTTTAAGAGCTGTGCATCTTTGACTTCAGGGTTATTAGGTAACTGACAATTCCCCTTAGAGCAGAGCTTTAATGTCTGAGTAAGACTTTTGCCTCTCAGTAAAACCTTTTACTCTAAGTTTTTTTTTTCTTTCCTGAAGTTTGTCACCCACTGGCACATTTATGTTTTGATAGTAGTACATTGCTTTTGGCCTGTTTTCTGTAATGAAATCACATCCAAGGCTTAGGAATTTTACTCTGCATGCGGTATACTGCTCTCAATGGTGATGTTGATTGATAAAAATGAAAGTCATGTTACAAAAGGGAAATTTGGAAACTTAAAGATCATTATCTTTTATGTATTTGTATGTTAATAATTTTTTTATTAACAGCTCCAGGTGTTATGAAGCTTTCCTTAGAAATTGTAGCTTGTAGAATTTTGAATCATCAAGTGTTTCATTTTCTGATCATCAATGTGCTAATATAAAGCAGCGAACTATTTATTGTGACCTCCTGTCCCTGAGAGGTTATTTCAAGTTAAGCTAACAACTGCTGAAGTGTGTATATCAATGAGTGAAAGAATTTTGTTAATAGTAACAATTCATCCCATTGTTCTATTTTTCCCTCTTTTGACGTCTGAATGATTCATTGATTTTGTAATTAAGTTTTGTCATCAGGTGCATTATCATTCCACAATGTACATTATTATGTTACTACTCACAGGGTTATTTCTGGTTCAGTGGTCTTCATATAAGTTTTCAATGAGCTTTTTCCAGAACTCCTACTCTTGAAATTGAAGGAATGCAATCAATAAACAATAGATTGATTGGACAGTTCTCTTTGGCTTCCTAAAATATCACACAGCTAATTATGTTAAATCTACTAGAGACAGATCAATGTGACAGTTTAAAAAAAGCAACTCTGAAATACAGTTTTATTCCAACTGCATGTGTTAGGATAAAATTTGATCTGCATTATTCTCAAAAGTCCACATTTAAAATTCATGAGAATTTTTGACATTTTTTGGCTCTCTCACATACCATACATCACCAAGTCATTACATACAGATCTATGGAAGAAAAACTTGTGTTAACCTTTATATAATGGCTTTCATCAAAATATTTTATTCAGCAATTGCTTATATTTTGTGCCTCAAGTTAGTGAAATCTTCTTAGTTGTTTTGTACCTTAGCAAGTTACCTGAGTTTTCCATTGCCTTCTATTCTCATCAGTGTTGAAATTTTAGTCAACACATAGGGGCTGTTTACATATGTTTACACCAGCTGTGTAATGTTTCAAGATTCTTTCACGTCCTCTTGAAGCTGAACCCCTCCTCTCCCATATATCAGTGTCAATTTTCCACACTGCTGTGTAATTTAAACTCTAAGAATTTAACATTACTCAAGCAGAGTTTATTTTTGTTTTTTTGGTTACAGTATTTCTCATCACCTTTCCATGGGACTTTTTATTGATTTTGAAAGGAGAAATCAGTGGGGGGCAATTACACATGCTAGTTCAAGGGTGAATGAAGGTCAATAGCAGCACTGAATTTTTTTTATGAACTTTCACTCCTGAAATAGCTATTGATTTTTATTTTTTTTCTTAAAAAAGCTCTAACTATTTTGTCTAACTTCTTCTGCTGCAGTTTGTTATTACCCCTTATGTCTTGGCAGCCTTATCATATTGATGTTTTTTAGAATTATTTTGAAGCAACTTTAAGTACAAGGTTTTGGCCACCAATTCTGGATTACTTGCTCAGTGACAATAACCCTTTATCTCTCACAAGTGGTTAACCATTAACTTCTCCCATCATATCCATACACTGTCTAGCAAACAGTTTATGACTCATCTTGATCTAACACCAAATTCTTTGAACTAATTTACAAGGAAATATATAGCAGCTAGAAGAGAGAATTAACAATCAGATCTTGGGAGTTTAAGGGTTAGATAGCTGAGAGTACCTCTACTAATTATGTTTGGAGGACAGCAAGAAGGGAAAAAAGGGAATTGTCAGCTAGTTCTTTTTGCCAAATATCTTAGAACTCTTTTTCATTTAAAATAGAATATGAGAGATAGTAAGTTTTGAGCTTGGTAAAGAAGTGGAGAAAGGTATTTTTTGTCTTATCATGAGTGTTGGAAGAGCATCAGAGTGTTGAATCCAAAGGTCTGAGGTTTGATTCCTCATGGGGACTCAGAATTTTTTTTCCTTTTCCCATGCTTGTGATTAGACAAAAATACCTTTTCTATTTCTTTATCAAGCTGAAAACTTACCATCTCTCTTATTATTTCACAAAAATGGTGCTATTGACTTCCCTGATCCTAGCAGTATGCAGGATGTATGTCATAATTATATGAACTTGTGATGGGCTTTGCTCATCACCTCTGTGTGGCTTAGTTACAGAGTATTGGAGCACAGAATCCGAAGGTCTGATGTTTTATTCCTCATGGGGACTCAGAATTTTATTCTTTGTTCCACACTCCCGACAAGACAAAAAGCATCTTTCTCTTTTTTATCTTCTTGCAATGCAGAAGTCCCAAGCCCACTTGTTATGTAATACTCTGAGAAAGTCTACATGTGACCTGTTTTTTATTCATTTCTTTCTTTCTTCTTCTTTTTTTTTTTTAATTTATATTTTTCTCAGGCAAGTGTCATACACCAGGACTTTTTAAGATTTATCCATGTTGATGATCACGATCTCATTAGAAAAAATCTTCTCCCTTTCCCTGAAGATGAAGAAGAACAGGTTTGTTTTGTTGTATTTTCCATATTTTTTCTTGCAATGTGTTTATTGTAATTCATCAGCTCATTGAATAAGACCGCACAAAAATCTTGTGATGGTATATCACATGGCAGAGTCTCTGTGACTCAGTGACAGTATCAAAGTATGAAATGGAAAGGTCCAAGATTCAATTCCTCACAAGGACTACAATTTTTTTCTTTGTCTAATGCTTATGACAGGACAAAAAAAAACATTCTCTATATTGCCCTTGTTTTGATTAAATTCTTCATCGTCAGAGCAATATCTAGACTTGGAACCAAGTTTTTAATTCAAAAGAGAATTTTCCTCTGCTTTATCTGTGACAAAACCTAAATTTTAATTGTGGGAAGAGTGAAATGTGGTTTTTCTCTTGAGAGTGTCTTTGCCACTGTATGTTTTTTAGAACAGGTCTCTCTGTTTTCAGGGCGGGTGATGTTTGTAGTGGGAAAAACAGGAAGCAATCGAGAGAATTGTATTTTACCTCATTCATGACAATTCAACTTCAAGCTTAAGTTTTCTCTCTATTTTTTTGTCTTTCTCTTTATAAATTGCACAGTTTACCTCCAGAATTTTCTTTTTACTCTTCAAGCCTTTTTTTGAAATTGGTTCTATATTGCAAAAAGGTTTCCTTTCAAACAAAAACTTATATTGCATTGTACAAAGTACCTCAATTGTGTGACGTGTCTGCGGTTAAAAATAGGGGTTTTGATATTGATATTGTGAAGCACTATGTGTAGAGAGAGGTTTTAGTGCTTTGGTGAATTCAGTAAGTTTAACCTCAGGACTTTTTGGTGATTGGTAAGTTAACATTTTATGATTTTTTTTTTTAATGTAGAAAATAAGAATTCTTGATGAAGAAAATGATGGGATTGCTTCTGAGACTGGCAGCACATGCAGCTCAGGTATGATGCTGGTTCTTTGTTTTTCTCTTACTTGTGATATTTTACAGTGGGTTTTAAGTGCCCTCATGTCGCTTTTTTTTATTTTAATTTTATTGAAAATAACAAGTTATGGCAAGTTGTCATCTTCAACAAATCAAAATTCTCGACTGGAATCATGCAGATCATATTTCTCTGCAATTTGTAGGGGTTGCAATATGTTTGAGATAAATGGAAAAAACTGCAATGTAGGCGGCAAATAGAAGTTCAATTCTTTAATCTAATATTGATTCAGGGGGAAGGTAGTAGTGATTTCACTTTATATCTATGGAAAATTTTGCCAGTTGCCTGCTCCTGCTGAAGCATTTGGATATGATGAGGCTCTCCTTGTAAAATCTACTGGTAACTTGATTTTGTAACAAATGTAACAAAAAAAATCTACTGGTAACTTGGTTATGCTCCTATGTAAATTGTCTTTTTTTATGTCAGCAGATGAACAAGGCAAGGATGTGGAGACAGAGAGGTCTTTTGTTTGCAGAATGAAATGTATTCTAAACACTAGTGCTGGCTTTTTCAAGGTACTTGTCCTTTAATCGAAGCATTGCTTTGATGGCCAATAATAATCATTAAAATGTGAAGTTTTCAGTGTCTGAACAAGATAGCTCATCATTCAAAAGCTTTTCCTCAATTCTGAAGCATGATTCAATTGACCATTTTACAGCTGTGGATTTTGTTGCCAAGCCTTTGATTTGGAGTGAGGCTGAAGATGACCATGTTGTGATAGAGTCCAGGTTCTACTTAGCATGAAAACAAAGTACCTTTGAAAGTAGCAATGTCTCTATCATAACAAGGTCATCCTCAGCCTCACTCCTGTTCAAAGGCCTGGCAACTAAGCACACAACTGTAAAATAGGCTATTTGAAGGATTGCCCTCAGTCCATTACAATTCACTGGTCTCTCCACCCCTGGCTGAAGAGAGCACTGTGTGAGTAAAGTGTCTTCCTCTAAGAATACAGCACAATTACTTAACTGAGGCCTTTGATCCAGGTTCCAGTGCACCAACGATGCTGCCTCTCTGTCTTCTATTGAAGTACTTGTTGAAATCACTCTATAATCAGAGTACAATTTTGAAAGATGTGTACTCAAAATTTTGATTTAATTCTTCAGCCATTCAGATGCAGTGGACGTTTACGTGAAATGACTCTTCCTGACTGTGAAAGAAGAGAGTATGGGCTGTTTATGATTTGCACTCCTCTGGAAACAGTGTCATCATCAGTGCTTGAAATAAGATTAAAAACATCGCTGTTCTGCACCAAGAACAGAATGGATTTAAGTTTCATGGATATTGACCAAAAGTAAGGAAAACCTACTAAGTATCCATAGAAGGGTTAATATTTTCAATGAAAGACTCACTGTTACAATAGCACCTTTTAGTTTATACCTTCTGTCATTGAAACAGACCTTATCAGAATGTTATTCATCAACACAATTCCCAGCAGAGTTTCTTTGACTTAAAACACTGTGTGATTATCTGTTCTGTTAGGGTGGTGTGGTTTCTGCTTTTAGTCATGTTTGATGTGATAACTTCCTCATGAAGGTGTTTGTTAATGTGTGAATTTTTTTTGGTGACAGAGGCCGATCACTTCTTGGTTATCATAAGAGAGACATTGCCTTGCAATCAAGTTACTGTATGATCCATTTCGATGATATTCCAGTCCTGAAGACACTTCATGGTGACTGTAAGTGCTTCAGAAGTTTATTGGTCTAATTCTGCAAGGGTAATTTAGGATTATTAAGGAGGTGATAATGGAAATTGGCCACTGCAAAGAGTTTCAAAGCTTCATCAGAACCCTTCATTCATTTGCTCTGAAGAAGGGCTGACACTTAAAATGTCAGCTTTTAAACTCTTTACTGTGGACAATTTACATCATCAACACCTTGATAATACTGAATTACCCTGTTATACTCTCCCACTGACGCACCATAGTTTCCTTAGAAACCTGCCCCTTTATTAATTCTCATAGGATTTGATATGCAATGTTTTTCAAAGGTTAATTGAATGTTAGTGTGTGGACATTGATTCCAGGAGCAATCACTTCATAAGTTATTCAAGCAGTGACCAGAGACATTTTCCCTTATATTATCAATTGTTACACTGTCAACTTAAAAACATGATAAGAAGGAAGAAAACTACTGCATCAGCTTGTGGTTGTAATTCTGCATCGTGAGAGCTAAAAGTGTAAGGAATGGATAGAACTGATAGCTAGATCCATGAAAGAGAGACAGGCAATGAGAAGGAGAAAGGAATCTATCAACTTAACCCTTCACTCCCACAAGTGAGAGAATTTCTCCTTACAATATCAAGCAGGCAGGTGATGAGAATAGAGAAAAATATCAGTTATGGGATTATTAGTTGATCCAATACTAAATTCTCTGAACTAAAATCATAAGAATTGTATGGCAGATAGTAAGGAGAATTACTAATTAGATCTTGGGAGTGAAAGGGTTAAGGTTGTAATACGACATTCTGATAGCTTAACCCTATAACTCCCATGAGTGACCAAGAGAGAATTTCTCCTCACAATATCAATACAATATCAAGCAAACAAGTGATGAGAAAAGGAAAAATTTCAATAAGGGGATTATAAGTTGATCTAATACCATATTCTCAACTAACATCACAAGAATTGTATGGCAGACAGTAAGGAGAATTACTAGTGAGATCTTGGTAGTTAAAAGGGCTAAAGGTATATGAAATGGAGATACTAGGAATTGATGATTAATTCTGTGGGAGAGAGAGACAGGTAATGAGAATGAAAAAGTGTTTTCTAAATGATATTGTTTGTACTCTGTAGACAAGCCAAAAAAAAACAAAATAAAATGACATTGCGTTCAGGAAATAGAAGTACCTTTCATATCTTGGGAGTAAAATGACTCCCTTAGCAGCAAGTTGAAGTCACAGAACTTCATAGATTTAATTACTGGTTGATGACTGTTCCTTTTAGTGATGAGCACTGGGAAATGTCAAGGGACCTTCCGTATGCTGAATAAAAACTTAAAGTGGCAATGGCTTACTGGCACTGCACAGGTTGTGTTCAAAGGAAGTGAGCCTGATTTCATTATTACAACAAACAGGCCCTTGAGGTAGAGTGATATTCTGGTTTTTTTTGTTTGTTTGTTTGTTTTTGGTTTTTTGGGTTTTTTGGTGTGGTGGAACCAAAATCAGTGTAATCACAACAATCATAACAAAGGAAATATCATATATCACAGTGCAAAAATCGGGGCACAAAAATCAGGGCACAAAAAATCAGGGCACAAAAAATCAGGGCACAAAAAATCAGGGCACAAAAAATCATGGCATAGTGGTGAGAGGGTGTGCCTCCCACCACCACACCACAGGTTTGATTCCTGGACCTGGTGTCATTTGTGCATTTAGTTTGTCGTTGGTTCTCTTCCTTACTTTCTTTCTCTTGAAAAACAAACACTCTGAATTCCAATTTGACTTGCAAATAGTGGACAAGAACAGCCACCTTGTGGAATGTCAGCTGCTAAATCCCAGTTGTTATCCTATCCCATTTCTAAGGAGAAAATGTAGACTTTAAGTGAAAACAAGTAGACTATCTATAAAAATATATCTGCTCATGACTCTGTTTCTCATTTTTCTGCAAGAGGTCTCTGTAGGAAACTATCACCACCTATTGCAACAGGATTACAGAATTTGTTTACACCACTTTTCACATTTCCTAATTTTTTTTTCCAGTGAAGAGGAAGGTGAAGAAATTTTACGACAGAGGGGGGAGTTTCCTGCCTTGCCTTTCACAGCAAGTGATAGTGGCTCACCAAGTCCTCGTAGTCCTAGAAGTCCGGGTAGCATTAGTAATTACAGCAATGGTGGCAGCCCCCTAGGCGTTCCATGGGGAGACTTCTCTGCCACCTCTGACTTCAAATACCCACCTATGCCTGCGTCACATAAGTATTCTTCTACCAATGGTAGAATAAAAAGAAATCGGAATGTTCCTGATGGATTTGTGAAATCTCCTGCTAGTGGTAAGTGTCTAACACTTTTTTTTTTAGTTGAAAATCTCCCAAGATTTTGACTAACCATAGGTAGAGTTAAATACTTGTACAATTCTTGTTAGGCTGCTCGATTCCATTTTTTTTCAATAAATCTGCATCTATGATATTTAAAAGGAAGCCCTCCTAGAAACATAAACAAGAAGATATGTACAGCCAAACGGATCTTAAACACCAACTCGGGTTAAAATAGTTAGCCAGCTGGGTTCCAATATAACTTGAAATTGACTGTTGGTAACCGGACTTTAGGTGCCAGTCACCAGCAGGCTATTAAGATAAAGTAATATCAGTGTTCTTTAAGAAAAGTAGGGCTTAAATATGAAATAACTGTATTTTTTCTTTTTTTTGGGAGAGGGGGTGCACTCTTGTACATTCAACAAGTGATTGTGTTAGATTTGGAAGCTGAAATTATGAATTTGGTTTGGAAAAAATGTTTCTTAAAACTTTGAGTTTTTTAACATCATTGTTTGGTTAAAATTTTTTAAATGGTGTTCTTTTTGTGAACTCTTTTCTAAAACAGATCATGATTTCCAGAAAAAAAATGTATTTATGTACATTGTGGCTTTGGGCTCCAAGGAAAACACTTTTTCAGTTTTTCAGTTGATAATAGCATTTTACCCCTTAAATCCATGACGTTATACATAAATGTGGGTTTCTTCTCCACAGCCAACTGCCTGCAATGTTAAGTTATTGCTTTTTTGCTGCTGTGTCATCCATACGTATTGCTGCCAGTCTCGCTGTTGCTGAACAGCAAAATGGGGATGAAAGTTGCTGCTTGTCCCTTTTGTCCCCCTCCCTCACCACCCACCTCCTCTTTGTGGCATTTGTCAGTGAAACCTGCATTCAAAAATGAATTAATTTATTTTGGAATGCTGTTTACTTATGAAATCAGACTTTCAAAGCTTCCCTCTGTATAAAATCGACATAGTAGACATTCCAGAAAATTTATTATGCTTTGCAGGTTTCTCTGCAACTCTTATATATGCAATCAAAATTTGGCTTTTTTTAAAATTGCACTATTTCAATGCATCCACAAGACAGTTAAAATCCTTGTCACCATGTCACATTTCATCTGATTGAAAATGGACACTTTTATGTATTATTTAAATTTAAGCAGTGCTTGATTACAGCCAAATTCCTTGGATTATGCTCTGCAATTTGCAAGCTTTACAAACACATTTTTGCTGTTCTGTTCTGACAGTCGTTTGTGCGTGAGTTACAAGCCAAGGTAGTAGCTCTGCTTCACCTTCAGAGCTTTTTATTGGAAAGCAAGAAACGCACAACTGAGATTGACTTGGCTTGTTTAAGTGAATTGCAGTGACAATGTCTTGCTGATCGTTTATGCCCTCTCTAAATTACTTCACCTGCAGCAGGTGAAACTGGCAGAACAAGATATGCATGATTGTATTCCCTTCTTCTGCTCAGATGATGACCAGAACAAGAAGGAAAAATTAGAAAAAGAACAGAATCCCTCCAAGTTTGCAAGAGGCAAAGCATGATAAAACAAATGTGGCTGTATTATTTGCTTGGCAATTTTTTGCCACCCATCTTAGTTGCTGGCTTTTTTGTCGTTAGGCTCGGCTCCTAATCCCATGCTTCAAGAAGGTGACTTGAATTCGCCGCTGCTGCAGCAGCATCCGTCGTCCCCATTTCTTGCTGATGCTCTTTTGAGTTCCGCTACCTCTTGTACTTCTACACCTATGACTCCCGAGGAGCCTGAGCTCTTCGACCTGGGTGTAGACATACAAGCGGAACTTGAAAAAGACGCTCCTGAACTCAGTGATTTCATGCTTCTTGACCCACAAGGTAAGATGACCTTGTGTTGCACACACACTTTCTTTTTTTCTCTCTCTCTCTCTGCAACTTTCTTCCTTATCTTCTCACTGCTTGCTTCTCTGTGCTGCATCTTTTGTTTGTTGCAAACCTAAAAAGCATAAGATAAAGTGCCCTTAACCTCTTTTAATGCTAATTAATTTAACTTCTAATCCTAGTTAGTATAAATATTGTTTCTACATGCATAATCTTTAACCTTTAATAGCAAAGCACTGAGTAAAGTAAAGGCAGTTTTTCAATGACTTTAAGGTAGTGGCAAATAATTTGTTGCAATAGGGAAAAAAGGCATACTATATATTTGTATTGTCTTTTGTTTACTTGGTAACAAAACTCAACTTGTTAAAACCAAATTGGCTCCCACAACAACTTTTTCAGATTTTCATGTTTGGATTAGTGTTTTTACTCTGCCATTGGAATGCTGCTTTATAGTTTGTTTGTTTGTTTGTTTGTTTTCAATGTTATTGTCAGCAGAGATAACTTCAGTTATTGTAATTTTGTGTGGGGGAAGTGGTGACCTTGTGGTTACTGTGTTGAACTCTGGGTTTGAAGATCTGGAAAGGTCAGTGTGTTGTGTCCTTGGGCAGAATTCTAAACTCTCTTAGGAACTTTCCCCACCCAGGAGAATTGATGGGTTTTGGCAATTTGTCAGGGAAGCCTGATGGTATGCTGGGAAGTACACTGGTGATGGAGTATCATCCCATCATGCCAGGGAAACTGGCACAAGCTCCTGTTGTCTGTGTGGTGCACAATGGTGTCTTTGTGTTTTGAGACACAGACAAACAGTTAGACTGAAAGACAAATAGACTGACATGGGAAGAATCAGGGAATATGAATAATTTGTCTGTAGGATGATTGGAACCAGGTGGTACTTACATTTTTGCACAACCATAGGAGAACAACAGGGTTGGGGCTAAATTGCTGGGTTGCTCTCTTTTTGGAAAAAGAACCGACTCTACACTTATTACCTTTACACAGATTTAGCCTTAAATGATTTTCGTCTTGAGCCATTGGACAATGCTGTTAGTGAAGGTGATCTACAGCAACCAACTGTTAATTGTGTTTGTTTTTTGACAGATTTAACCTTAGAAGACCTTCATCTTGAGCCACTTGACAACACTGGTGGTGGAGGCGATCTACTTCAAGGGATGGATCCACCTACCTACGAGGAAGCACTGTTACTTGCAACAGATTGTCTTTCTATTGCATGTAATAGTGACAGCAATAATTTGACAAGTCCTGATGGAAGCCAACCTTCATTATCTCAATCTCCTCCAAAGAATCTGGAGCATTTTTCTCCTAAAGCTCAAATGGCCCCATCACCATATCCATCGCCAGCTGGTCACCCTTCGCCTCACATGTCGCCAGGTGGCTTACCAACCCCGGACCCCTCCCCTGTTGGGCACTGTAATCCTGCACCAGCAAGAGTCAATATTTCCTGGCAGGGGATGGGTCAGATGAAAGTATCTAAGCCTCCACAAGCCCCTCCTCCTCAAATGCAGTCAAAGTCAGCTCTGATTTCCACAACAATTAAGAAGAAAGAAAGACATGAAATGTATGGTTCCAGCTGCATAACAGGTCAGCAGCACCCAAACCCTATGGTGAGTCCCAGAGGCATGCAGCATGGTGTACAAGGAAACTGGATGCACCAGAATCACCAGAATCAAGTCCAGCAGGCTCCAAGGAACATCCAACAACCACAACAGCAACAACAACACCAATATCCAGATTGGAAAATGCAACAGCATACAATCCAGCAAAGTGCGATGCAAAATTTCGCTGGGCAAAGAACTGCAACGGTCATGGGCACAGAAAATGCAGTTTACGCAACAAACATGCAAGGTGGAAAATGGGACTTGAATGTCCCCCCTTTGTTCGAGGACACTCTACCAACTCTTGAGTATGATGGAGGCCTAGGATATATGAAGACTGCATCACAGCAGAACATGGTCGGCACAGGTCACTTACAACACCATGGATGGGATCCCCAAGTAGACATTTTATCCCCACCATATCAAGAGGACTACCACTCAGGCTTTGGATTTCAAGGAAATCCACTTCCAGCAAATTCCCAAGGTCAAACAACGCTGGGTTGGGGATGAGAAACCGGTTTCAAAAGCTAGTATTACAAAAATACTTCTGGCCCTCCCTCCAGGGGATAGGGTAGATTGACAGTCTTCAAAATGTACACTAAGAAATGATCCTGGGTAATTCACAGTTTGTACTGGCTGACTTCAGAACCTTTAGGTTTTGCTAAGAATACCTTGCAGAATGTCGCAGTTTTCTGTTCAATGACTACTCAACAGCATGTCATCTAATATTTTAAGACAAAGGCAGGTATTAACACACAGAAAGAGTTTTGCTCTGGGTTGTGGGTCAAAGTGCTGTCTTGCGTATTGAGGAATTTTGGTTTTCACAATTGCTTCCAGTTTGATGAAGTTTATCAGCTGTTCTCAAATATGTTTAGAATATATTCATTGTATTACATTTGAGCACATCATTGTGCTTATCAGGTAGTTAGAATTCCTTGGTGATATCTGTATATTTCTGTTGGACAGCAGTGTTTATGGTGAAGGTCAGAAATAGGAAAAAAGGACAAGTGTATAAATTTGATTGTATTAGATACGAGTATGAGTACATCATGAGTCGCATGATCATCAAGGCTGATCTCTACACAGTTTACCTTGATTGCAGTATCTTGGCAAAGGCTTGGACCAAATACAGAAAAATTTGATAAACGTTTGATTTATTTCCTTTCGAACCACCTATAAATTGGGGCAGTAAACTAGTGACTGAAATCTTGGGGCTTATGAAGTAAACCTGAGGTTTCAGCTCGTGAAATGAGTCAAGAAGTTCGTACCTTTTATTTTTATCTTTTTCATTCTTCCATTTGCGTACTATTTTCCTTGTTATTTTACTCAAGGAAACTCATCCAGTTTATACATTTTTCCCCTAAACCCTTTAACTCCCAGAAGTGATTAACAGGTAACTTCTCCCTATAAAATCCATACATTATTCAGCAAAAATGTAATGAGAATACCCAAACTTATGAGGTTGGAGTTTTTATCTTGATGTAAGCCTAAATTCTTGTAACTAATTGGCAAGGAAATGGGTAGCAGCTAGAGAGGAGAATAACAATCAGGTCTTGGGAGTTAAAAGGGTTGATACAGAAGTAGAGAGCAGTTACCTAAGTAGAACAAGAAATAATTTGAAACTACTTTGCAATCAAGACATTTTTACTCAGATTACAGTTTGTTCACAACTATTTACTTTTCTATGTTATATATTTATGGATGTTTATAGACTTAATAAAGATTTTCTCCCTTAGTTTCAAAGGGGGAAGATGTCTTTTTGCTAAATTTTTCTATTCATTTTTCCAATAATTTCAACTGTACACTTTTTGTATATACAAAGGTACATCCTTCTTGCTCTCATTGCCTTACAAACTGTGATCAGACAAATTTATTCAGTGTCAGGGTTATTTTTGTGTAAATACTCTCAGAGAATTGTCAATAGGGTTTACAGACTTTTTTCGTTTGTTTATGTAATCACCTGCCAGGTGAGATGATTGTAACAAAGTGATTGTAGCAAAAACTGAAATAAATGTGCATATGATCTTAAAGTAGATTAACTTATGTTAACTAGCGATGGATGTGGTGATTTTTTTTGTTCCATTCAAGGCTATTGTTTTGCCAAAACCAAGCTCTTAAAATGGAAGAGATTAGAATAAAGGTCACCCTGTTTTTTGTTTTGTTTTAAATCTTTACAGAAAAGGCTGGTAGCCTTTGATGACACATCCTGCAAATTTACATAGAGGCGATGAGAAAGCTTAATTCAAAGGCTTTTATCCAATGGAATCTGAGGAAATTTAAAACTGTAAACCTTACCACACTGTAAACAGCGAAGCCTAAACGATCTTTTTAAGAGCTTGGGTTTGAGCAAGAGAGAATTTCTATCACCCGTCACTATATTTTTTAATTGGCTGTAAAATGCTAGTAAGGCCGAGTGATACAATCAGGCTAAAAATTGTAGACTTACTAGTAGGTCTTAAATTTTAGGTATTAGCTTAGTAGAGTATATTTCATGTAGATTACTATATAGTATGATCAGATGGGTTATGTGTCAATATGCTATTAAATGTTGCCAATAAACAGCACTTCAAAACGTGGTTGAATTCTTGTCATCCTCAATAGTAACCTACTTTGACTGGAAATATATGAAGATCACATATGTGCATTACGGTGAAGAAATGGAATATAAGCGATCCTCGCAGCTATAAACACTACTGAACTAGTAGTTGAAATGAGACCTGAAACCTACTTTGTTTTTTTTCTTTTCTTGTGTGCGTGTGTGCGCGCCCTTAAGCTTCTCCCTTTTTTTGTTTATCCACACAGCGTAACCCCAAACTTTTTTGGTATATGTTGTGTGACATCCCAAAGAATGGCTGCGGAGGATATAAAGAACTAGGGAAGAAAATGTATTAAGGTGGGCTATGAACCTCCTGCAGGACTGCCTCTGGTTTTAATGGCTCATCTGCTTAACCCTTTAACTCCCAAGATCTGGTTGTTAATTCTTCCCACTAGCTGCCACACATTTC